CTGATTGCCATCATTTGAAAAAAATACCATGACAAGTTATTAACACCAGCCCGACCTTGAGGGACAATGCTGTAATTGCGAATTATTCTTACAAGCATTTGTGAAAACACATTTTTGGATTTGTTTTAAACCCAAAAGTCGATTAATAAAGGGTCCTTTTTTTCCCCATGTAGATCTTTCAAGGAAACACCAACCCTACAGATCTTGTGTTTGGAGTTTTCCCCAAACCACTGATAACTCGATTTGTTCGAATCAAACCTATGACTTGGGAAACTGGCATATCTATGAGATTTGAAGTGTATGGCTGCAAGATAACAGGTAAGCTACAGCTTGAAGATTTTCTGGTTTTAGTTTACGCCAACCTTTTAAATACAAGGAGAATAATTTTGTATATATGTGGTCATTATTTGGTAATTGAGANAGTGAACGTGTCCTTGTCCCTCCTTTGAGCATTCATGGCCTTTGTTTTCTCCTTCTGAGTCTGGAACTGAGAAAAGGTGAAAGAAGAGCTATTAATTACCTTTAATAATGGCAAAACCCCCAGTCTCATTTAGGGCCATCCAGATGGGAGAAGACCTAGGTAGACAGCTGCTCTGTGGCAGGAAAGTTCTATGGACAGGCAAGTCCAATGACACCATCTAGCCCTGGAAGATGTGGAACCAATTCTCTGTCTGGGGAAGAAAAAGCCTCACAGTCTACGCTTGTGGAAATTAAGCGATTATATGTTGACTGCAAATTTTATGACTTATTCTTGTTTTGGAACAGATTTTTGAAGACATACTTTTGTTTCAAACAAAACAAAGAAACACTGGTACTGGGCCGACCCCGTGGCTCACTCGGGAGAGTGCGGCGCTAGGAGCACTGAGGCCGCGGGTTTGGATCCTATACAGGGATGGCCGGTGCGCTCACTGGCTGAGCGCGGTACAGGGGACACCAAGCCAAGGGTTCCGATCCCCTTACCGGTCACAAAAAAAAAAAAAAAAAAAAAAAACCACTGGTACTAAGGATATACCTACAAGCAAAAGAACCCAGATAGTGGAGAGACCTGACCATAGATCATCAGGCCGTTCTTTTAAAAATAAATAAGCGATACTTCTCCAAGATGTGCTCTTAGGCCCTTGTCCCTGGGCACACAGAAGGGCTTCCAGGGCAGGAGGCCGAAAGACTCAGGAAGGACTCAGCAGACAGAAGACTTGGCATCTGTGTGAGCACTGTAATTGAGCCTAAATGGAATCGAAACATCCAGCTGGAGTCTAGCTATTGTCACCCACCCTGGAGGCCTTTGGTCGGCCACCCTCCAGCCTCTGGCCTACTTTCCTCAGGGAGCATGGGCCGTCCCCTCAGCAAGAGCAGCCTTTGACCAGTCACAACTCCACAGTCCTCTTTATGTCATTCAGAGTGTGAGTCACATAGTTTTCAGCAAACATAAAATTCCCTCAGTGTGAGCAAAATGTGTACCCCCACGTGTGTCAGTGTGCGCCACTCTCCTGACACACTCCTGGTGCCTCTCGGAAGTGGGCCTCGTGACTCTGTAAGGAGAGCACAGCGTCTGGGGCTCTGCTCTTTCTGGAAACTACCTGTTATCCCCTGCCACACAAAATGCTCCCACGCAGACTGTTTTCCAGAGAGAGATGCTGAAGTAGGACCAAAATCTAAAGGCCATCACAGGCCGGGATAAATTATGATATTAAATCATCCCCAGAGAGGGATCAGGCTAACAAGTAACTTAGTAAGGCATTTGAGCACCTTCACTTGTGCAGGCCACTTAAATTAAATGAACTGAAAACACCAGCCCAACTTTTATAAGCCCCTTCTCCCAGAGAGGAAGCGCATGCCTTGAAAAGCTGTGGTCTTCCCTCACTCACCTTGCAAAGGTGGGGAGGAATCCTCGCGCCTCTGGTCAGCCCAGGAATGCCCTAGTTTCACAACCCAAGAAGAAGAGTGTGACTCAGCTGTGCAGAGAAGCAGTACTAGATGCACGGGGCACAGAACTGAGAAATGCTCCTTTTACCCAGGCTGTCCCCAACCCAGGGCTGAAGTATAATCCGGGACCGTGGAGGCTCTGATCCGCTCCACCTGATGCAAGCCTAACGCCAGAATGTTCCACGGTGGCAAACAGTCTTCATTCCTCAGAGGTCTGACTAGAGATCACTGCCGCAGACATGTGGGAAAGCGATTTGTGCCTGGCGCCCGTTACATTTGCAATCATGGGCCTCATCTTTCTTAGAATGAAATGACTCATTTTAAAACTGGAAGCAGAAGCCCTGGAAAAGCTCATTTTCTGTGAAAACTCATTCATAACTCAGTTTTGACTTTGACCACCAAAACATAATTTTACCAATAGCCAAAAAGCATTAAAGGTATTAATTAATGTCAGGGATAAGATCTTCTCTCAGGAATGGAGTCAAAAGGGGGGATGCTGCTTGACCTAGTTTTATAACTGGGAACATAACCTAGAATTTCCAAAAGCCAGACCCTACACTGAACTCAAAAAGCATCTCTTCTGGGGGGG